CTTTAGGATGGACTGGTTGGATCTCCTTGCAGTCCAAGGGACTCTCAAGAGTCTTCTCCAACACCACAGTTCAAAAGTATCAATTTTTCGGCACTCAGCTTTCTTCACAGTCCAACTCTCACATCCATATAGGACCACTGGAAAAACCATAGCCTTGACTAGACTGATTTTTGATGACAAAGTAATGTCTCTGCTTTTTAATATGCTGTCTAGGTTGGTCATAACTTTCCTTCCAAGAAGTAAGCGTCTTTTAATTTCATGGCTGCAGTCACCATCCACAGTGATTTTGGAGCCCCCCAAAATAAAGTGTGCAACTGTTTCCAATGTTTCCCCCTCTATTTCCCATGAAGTGATGGGACCAGATGCTATGATCTTAGTTTCCTGAATGTTGAGTTTTAAGCCAACTTTTTCACTCTCCTCTTTCACTTTCATCAAGAGGGTCTTTAGTTCTTCTTCACTTTCTGCCATAAAGATTTCATTAAACAAAAATGGTTTAATGCCTGCAAATCAGTCAATGTGATATACCACATTAATAAATATGTTTGGCTATTTAAATTAATAGGCTTCTTGATGAATTCATGGTCCATTTAGTAACATTTGAGTATTCAGTAACATTAAACAAACATTCATTTTAGTGTTTATAAATTACTTCTCTTCCAAAGTCCATGATGTCATATATGTCTTACTGAAATTGGGGTGAGCTAGAGGAAGTTCAGTGACATTCTCTTAGCTGTCCTTTGTGAGAATCATGAAGAACAAGAATGCACATATATATGTATAGAAAGATAATCTCTTTCACACTTTTGAAAATAGAAAAGAGTTTTGAAAAAGGAACATACTGCAGATGAACACTAATTACTCGTATGGACATCACTGAGCGCCAGCACTGACCTGGATACTATGCCAAATACTAACAAAGGAAAGGTTAGTGAGACATAGTGTCTCTCGCCAAGGATTTATATTAATCAAAACAACAAACATTAATAGGTATTTTGTGATTCTCATTCAAGATTCAGAACTAAATTTATCTTCTAGCCCTGCTGGAAACTTATTACAATTATTTGTTTGTTGTTGTTGAGTCACTGAGACATGTCTGACTCTTTGTGATCGCTTGGACTATAGCCTGTCAGGCTCTTCTGTCCATGTGATTTCCCAGACAAGAATACTGGAGTGGATTGCCATTTCCTTCTCCAGAGAGGTCTTTCTGACTCAAGAATCAAACCCGAGTGTCCTCTACTGCAGGAGGATGCTTTCCACTGAGCCAAGACATGTAAACACACATCAGTAGACAGAACAATGGTGGTGGGGCAATTGTAACAAATACCTGGAATAAGAAGAGTGTGCCTGTTTGCTGGATAAAGTAGGCAGTGGAAGCCATAGTTCAGGACATCCTCAGAGAAGGTTGAATAAAAAGCACAGATGATTTGCCAATGCCAAATAACCCACTTCTGCACACAGGATGATTAAAAGGCAAGCACCCACCTCCTAGGTAAATACATATAAACAAAGGTAATTGTATAACTGGGAGAACTAGAATAGTTGCAGTTGTAGCCCAGAATAAATCATCTACATTTTGGCATTTGGGACTGCTCAGGAAAATGTCAAACTCTTCACCAAGTCATTTTAAAATGAATTTTATCAGTTGGAAGATTTCATTCGTGAATGCAAACCTCATAGTAGCCTCTCCTTTTACTTTATTTTTAATATAATCATATGATTAATTTCTCACAAAAACTAAAACTGTCCCTGAAGGAAAAATCTATTCGGGGAATTGAAGTAAGCATAAATAGAAAAAGAAAATCACATCTAAAAAATTAGAGAGACAAGTTAACATATTAAGCAATCTATGAGAGCCAATTCCAACCAAAAGGACTACATAGAAAGTAGAGGAAACTGAACAGAAGACAATATTTTTTGAAAATTCAAGAAATTATTTTTAAATTATATTTAAATTATTTTAAAATTATTTTTAAAGCTTTGATGTATTAATATTGCATTTAAAAACAACTATTAATAGACAATTCTGAATGCTTTTTGATTATTCCTCACTTCAACTTTCATTCCCTTGCTATGAAATTTTTTTCTTTTCATTTGAGATGATGATTGAGGAAGTGTCCAGATANTCACTTCAACTTTCATTCCCTTGCTATGAAATTTTTTTCTTTTCATTTGAGATGATGATTGAGGAAGTGTCCAGATAATAAGGTCAATTGTGGCAAAACCTAACCGAAATAAATATTTTATTTTGAATTTTTTGGAAATATTTTAGATTCCTTTCATTGTTCATACATCATCAAATTAATTCCAGATTTACAAAGGGCAAAAGAATCATGTAATAATTGCATTTTGAAAACTTCTGATTAGTCTGGAATCCAGTGTACACATTGGTACAATAGGTGTAGAAGTCTGTTTAAAATCAGAAGAAACTGAAAAATAAAAAGTTTAAACAAATTGTGTGGCACTCCTGACCTTTTGTACCTGGACTATGCTGTGACTTTCCTTTATAAAATTCAAATGAGAAAAATTGTTTCTTATGCATTTTTAGTTTTTTTTTTAATTTATTTTTATTAGTTGGAGGCTAATTACTTTACAATATTGTAGTGGCTTTTGCCATACATTGACATGAATCAGCCATGGATTTACATCTGTTCCCCATCCCAATCCCCCCTCCCACCTCCCTCCCCATCCCATCCCTCTGGGTCTTCCCAGTGCACCAGCCCCGAGCACTTGTCTCATGCGTAAATTTTAAAAATCTAATGTTTTCATGTAGACAATTAGCNAAAAATATACAAGCAACTCCTGCAGCTCAATTCCAGAAAAATAAATGACCCAATCAAAAAATGGGCCAAAGAACTAAACAGACATTTCTCCAAAGAAGACATACAGATGGCTAACAAACACATGAAAAGATGCTCAACATCACTCATTATCAGAGAAATGCAAATCAAAACCACAATGAGGTACCATTACACACCAGTCAGGATGGCTGCTATCCGAAAGTCTACAAGCAATAAAGGCTGGAGAGGGTGAGGAAAAAGGGAACCCTCTTACACTGTTGGTGGGAATGCAAACTAGTACAGCCGCTATGGACAACAGTGTGGAGATTCCTTAAGAAACCGGAAATAGAACTGCATTTTTAGTTTAAAATTATATGCATGAATATGATCCTCAAGCCTAACTTTTTAATTTTTAATTGTAGATTGCTCAAAATGTAGAACTATTTTTCAGAAAGTATAAATGTTTAAATAACTATATATCTAAAGCCTGATTTTGGCTAGATACTGAATTAAATCTGAACGGATATAGATATAAATAAACCATTATAAGAAACACCATGGAAAACTTATGTCATTTGGAAATTGGCTTTGCTTCTGTTGAAATTTAATTAAAAATAATTACAATGCAACTCCATTTGGACCCATCATATTACATATTACCCATCATTATTAAAATGGTAAAAGTTTCTGGACTGGAAGTTATAGATATCTCAAAATGAAATAGGTTACTTTGAAAGATAACAGTCTGTACAAAAAAAAGTGAGAGAAAATGAATTCTATATTCATATTGTAAAGGGTTTCTGATATAATAACCACCCAAACCTACAAAGAAAGACTCATGTTATACTGATGTAATTTTCATTGAACCTACCATGAAAATGATTAAAAGTACTAGTTTTTCTATTTAGTAGATGTGTGTGGTTTTGTGTGTGTGTATGTGTGAACACCAGCACAGAGTAATGATACATCATCTACCAAAGAATGTATAATTTTAGTTGAACATCTATCTAGTAATGGGCTTCTCAGTTGGTGCTAGCAATTATGAACCCACCTACCAATGCAAAAGATATGAGACTTGGGTTTGATCCCCGGATCAGGAAGACCCCCTGAAGAAAGGCATGACAACCTACTCCAGTATTCTTGCTGTAGAATCCCATGGACAGAGGAGACTGTTGGCCTACAGTTCATAGGATCACACAGAGTCAGACATGACTGAAGTGACTGAGCACCCACGCACCACTTAGTAATATCAAAGTTGGTATTAAATCAAGAAAATTAAAATTGTGGATTACAGGATGGTTTATGATTTTTTTTGTAAAACAATATTTTATGTTCATTTGTGTATCCTTCCCTTTCCCACCCAGCCCAAATTAAATATATCACTTTTTTTGTGTCTGTGCTCACTGACTATCTTATACATATATGTTTTCTGTATAAGCATTGTGTTTTATTTGTTGCCTTTGTTTTTTTCCACAAGAGTGTAATCTCTCTAAGGCCAGCATACATACTGCTTGTTTATTTATCTTCTGCTTTTACCACATTCACGGGAGGTTTGCAGATGCTTAAAAAAGCTGTTACTTGATCTCTAGATTAAAGCAAATATAGGATAATATGTAGGTTCTCACTCTGTGTTTGTTGTAGAAATGAGTATTTGTTTCTTCATAAAATACTCAAAAATTAGATATGCATTAGAAAAAATTAAATGGAATGTTAAATTATTTTATTAAAAATAAAATAGTAACAAGCAGCCAAAACCATATTAAGAATCATAAAGTATATTTAAATATTTTTGATAAATTTAGAACATACTCTATTATAATTAGAGGAAAAGCCAGATCACCGTTCAAATAACATCAGTGTTTCTGTTACAATGAAAATGTAAACATGTCAAAAAAAATTAGTTAAATACACTCTGAAAAATGTAGAAAATAGAGTTTTTAAAAAATCATAACAGACTACGTATCTTCATTTTTTTTAAACTAGAGATTATTCAGATTTCAGTGAGAGAAATGGGAAAATGGCTTGTTGTTAAGCATGGAATATGTTGACAGATACTACAGGGGAGAAGGTATTGTACTCTGACATTAGAACCAAAATGCTGTCGACAATGCTAAAACAAGGGAGCTTAAGTTTCTCCAGCCTCAACGGTGTAGAAGTGCAAATTTGTGGTGTGGTCAGTCGCTTCAGTCGTGTCCAACTCTTTGCCACACTATGGACTGTAGCCCGCCAGGCTCCTCTGTCCATGGGAATTCTCCAGCTGTAATGGGTTGCCATGCTCTCCTCCAGAAATCTTCATGACCCAGGGATCAAACTCATGTCTCTTAAGCCTCCTGCAAGTTTAAATTGAGCAAATTCAGGAGTTATAATTCCACTCTCATGCCCTCTCTAAGACAATTGCTATTACTTCCTCATCCAGAGTGCCTTTCTTTCTTGTGGTTAGGCCACCATATTTTTCCTAGAAGCACATTACAGTTTTTGTGTTTGCTGACATATAGCCTCCATCTCAGCTGCTTTTTATTCTCACTTTTGTTGCCAAAAGAAAAAAGAAATCTTCCTGGACATGACTGTTGCTGAATTGAAACAGGGAGAAGAATTTAGAGGGGAAGTTGAGGGGTAAGAGTGAGGAGAACACAGACTAGCTGGAAATACCTAAAAAGTCACATCTATCTTCAAAAGTAAATTTTTATTAAAGAATAAAAATAGTTTATGAGAAATTGAAGTCAATAGTTTAACAACTATATAGAATTTTAAATTGGGGGATTATTTATAATATATGGAAATATCAAATCACCATGTTGAGTACCAGGAACTGACATAGTGTTATAGGTCAATTATACCTCAAAGAGCAAACAAACACAAACAAATCATAGAAAAGGAGATCAGATTTGTTGTTATCAGAGGCAGAGTGGCAATTGGATACAGGTAGTCAAAGGTACAAACTTCCAGTTTAAGATAAATAAGTACTAAGGGTCTATGTACACCATGATTAATATAAATAACACTATTGTATGTTATATATGAAAGTAAAGAGAGTAAATCCAAAGAGTTCTCATAAGGAAAAACTTTTTCTTTCATATATATATATGTATATATATATATATGACAGATATTCATTAAATTTACTTTGGTAATTATTTCATGATGTATTTTAAATCATTGTGTGATATCCCTTAAACTTGTATAATGCTATATGTCAATTATATCAATGACACTGAAAGAAAAGATATAGAAAAATTTAAGTAAACTTTTTAGTATCTATGAAAAAATGTTCTATATTGAAGAACAAGAAATATATGTTTACAATGGAAATTTTAAAACTTTAGCAAATGTGTGTGCAGGTAGAACACAAACATGGTAAAGCAGATATGATTAAAGAGTCACTATGAGTTGACTATACCAAGCTCCTCATGATTATTTCTCTGTTAAAAAAAAAAAAAAAAGTCTACTTCTCAAACCACTGCTGCAAACCAAAGTAGAGTGGTAGCTTATGTTTCATAATTTGTGTTTCTGATTTTAATTTCTCTCATATCTTTTTCCTAAAGAGATTTCCATGACCTCTACAAATTGAGACTGATATGTGACCCACTTTTGCCTCCCATATTTCTTTCTTTTCTTAGATACCATCAGTGATACTAACCTGAGCCTTGCGATTCTACTCCAACATTACTTTGCTGAGTTATATATACATATAAAGTTTCTTCAGTTACTAAAAAAATAAAGTCAAGAGTCATGAGTAGAAATTGATCATAGACTTCTAGAAGTATGCACTACTCCTTGTGCATATTTATAGCAAATGATCTGTAAAGTGCATATAGAAGAATTGTGCATCAGTACTTGAAACAAGGAATGGACATTTGTTAGACACAGAGTTAAGTGAACTACAGAAGACATAGTTTCCACTCCTCTCTCCTCCCACCAACAGAAAGAAACACAAGTTAAATAACTGGCAGACATCACATGGAGTGGCGAAGTAAGAACATTTTGCACCCTTTTTGGTAATATTATTACAACTGAAAGAGCACCTAGGCATATACTTGTATAGTTAGGTAAAATCATGCTAAAAGGCTTTCAAAATTTTTCTGGTTTTGGTTAGCTGTCTTAGGACCAATTAATAACAAGAAGGGACATGAATTACCTCTGAAATTAATGATAACTTTGCCATGAGAAGAAAGCATTCTCTTAATATATTGATAAAGCATTGCTTATGAATCCTTGAACCCAGGAAAATCTGGGTTCAACTGATTTACTTTCTAGCTCTGTGATATTGCTCAAGTCATTTACCTGTTTCTGAATATACCCTCATCAATGTAGAAAACAATATGGGAAGCAAAAGCAAAAATAAACAAATGGGTGTACATTAAATATTTTCATAGTGAAGGAAACTATCAACAAAGTTAAAAAGCAACCTATGGAATGGAGAAGACTTCTACAGATCATGCATCCAATGATGTGTTAATATCCAAAAGATGCAGAGAACTTATACAACTTAACAATAAAAAAAATAAATCCTGATTCAAAGATGGAGAGAGGACCTAAATAGACATTTTTCCAGAGAAGATATGCAGATGGTCAACAGGTAACTGGAAAGAAGCTCAGCATCACCTATCATTAGAGAAATACATGTCAAAACCACAATGAGATACCACTTCACACTGGTCAGAATGACTATCATAAAAATGAGAACAAATAACAACTGTTGTCAAGGACATGGAGAAAATGAACCCCTCATGCACTGTTTGTGGGACTGTAAACTGCCTCTGTAGAAATAGTATGAGTATTCCTCCAGAACTTAAAAGTAGAACAATACAACCCAGCAATTTCACTTCTGGGTATTTACCTGGAGAAAACAAAAAGTACTAATTTGAAAAGATAAATACACATCCGAGTTCTCAATGTTCATTGTGACATTATTTATAGTAGTCAGTGTATGAAAGCAACTTAAATACTCATTGATAGATGAATGGCTAAAGAAGATGGTGTGCACACACATACACACAGGGATATTAGTCACCTTTGAAAAATGAAACACTACCATTTGTGACATCATGGATGGATCTAAGTGGTATTATGCTAAGTTAAAGAAGGCAGACATAGAAAGACAAATACCTTTTGATCTCACAATGTGGTATTTAAAACAAACAAACAAAACAAAAGTAAATATCCATAGTTATAGAGAATGAACAAATAGGTGGTTGCCAGAGGGGAAGGGTGTTAGAAAGGTCAGGTAGATATAGAGGATTGATAAGTACAAGCTTCCAGTTATACAATAAATAAGCCATTAGGATGTAATATACAGCATAATGAATATGGTCAATAATATTGTTATTTTTATAACTTTGAATTGAAACAGAAGATTTTCAGATTTGCTGTGGTGATCATTCCATAATGTATAAAATGTCAAATCACAATAGTAGTATACTTGAATCTAATGTAATATTGTATCTCAATTATATATCAAAAACATAAAGATAGCAATATGACTTTAAAATTATATATGTTAAATACTTGGGTTAATTACATATCCTTAGATCACTGTTTCTCGAACTTGGAACAATTGACAATCTCGGTCAAATAACTCTGTTTGATCTGCAGTATTTATTGTAGGCTTCCCAGGGGCTCAGTGGTAAAGAATCCGCCTGCTATCCAGGAAATGCAAGAGACGTGGATTCGTTGTTTAGTAGCATCCATGGCTGCTACCCACTACATGTCCATAGCACCCATTCTCCCCAGTTGTGGCAATCAAAATTATCTCTAGACATTGCCAAATGTCCCTTGAGCAGCAAAATTACCCGCCATTGAGAATCATTGTTTTAGAGTAAAGAACTCAGATCAGTTTTGGGGAAATGCAAAAGACAGATATCAAGTGAAAAGATCAGAAATTTCTTTTTTCAGACACCAACATGCATGGCACTTTAGACTGACAGGGTTGCACTTGAAAACTGTTTTGAGTTTATTCAGTACAACTTCTAATTTGATAATGGAATCACCTGTACCTATAGCCTACAGATGTTACATCTCAAACTTTTGAGAAATTTGGCAGCTAAGCTAGTTTTATTCCCCACCCCCCACCCCAACTTTTCTTCCAAATCTAGAACTTAAGAAATAGCCAGGCATTGCCATTGGGATAATTCAACAGTGGAAGTGTTGTATTGTCTTGTATTGGAACCATACAGAGAGTCTGAGGGGACATCTCAGTAGAAGGTTGGATGGAAGGCCTTCCCTCATTTCATCAAACCCCTCCATTAGATAAAATGACAAAACTCCAGGTATAATTTTGTTCATATAATAATAGTGATTTTATTTTTTTACATATGCAGCTATTAATTTGAAGTAGCCAAGCTGTTGCCTACCAGCCACTTATAAAGAAAGATGTTAAGTCCTTGTGCTTACTTCAGCCAAGCTGGATGGTACCTCTCACTTGACAGGCAGTTTGCCATGACTCATTCAACACTTCCGTAAGTTCAATAAATACAACCAAGTGAAAATTGGTAAGAAAGAAAGTGTGCGTATGGTCTCCAGATGCAATTTTGCTACTATAGAACCACTAATATAATCCAGGCTCAGTCAGTTTAACCTGGAAGACACCCAGACAATATGGAAACACTGACTTTGTTAACAGGTAGAATCAGCCTAGAGTCTCTGAAACCATACCACACACGGAGGGTTTCTACTTAGCAGAAATCATTGATTTTACTATTATGTTCTTAGAGATTCTAGGATCACATGAGCGCTAGTTATCTTACCATTATTATTTTCAGCAAGTTCCATGATCCATCACAGTTAGACAACAGGAGACATAAAGTAGCTGCAATAATCCTGTGAAAAGCTAATTCATCAGTAGTCTCAAATGTCATTTATTTAATCAAGTACACATTTACTGCCCACAGGATTTTACCCTCCAAATTCATATATAAATTCTCCTGTAGATAATTTTCACTGTTATATTACATGTAGATATAGATACAAATATAGAGATGTAAATACATAAATGCAGATATATATATATATATAAATGTATATATATATATACATGTTCCTGTAGATATTTATCTTAATATAGATGATAGATACAGAAAGAAGATAAATAGATTTAGAAAGAAATGTCAGGGAAATACATTTTGTAAAAATTGATTCATTTCATTGTGTTATGAATAAAATCTATTCAGCAATGAAGGAACATCATGAAAATTAATGAGTTTAGTAAGAAAGATTCAAGCAAGATTAATTACTCCCAGACATGATAAAAGGGATGATTTGAATACAGTTTTCTTCAGTTGAAACCAACCTCAAATATTGAGGATTACTTTGGCAAATAATTTGGTAAACTATTGGCACTTGCTATCTTTGACCTAGGTAATTAGGAAGGAGATTTCTTTAGGTATATGATGAAATGGTAGAAAAGAAGCATGTAACTTTTCATTTTTTAACATTCATGAAATGCAAATAGAACAATGAAATAAAAATCATGGGTATTGTTATATCTGTTTTTTCTAACACCAGGATGTCTTAATTATTCTTTTTGTTAATTAAAAAAAGAAGTTGATTTCTACTTTTCCATCAAACTACCGTATAAACAACCTTATATGTTGCCTAATTACAGGGACCTTTCCATAGTATTTTGTGGAGGGACACATGTGCACCCTGATTGATTCATGTCAATATATGGCCAAAAAAAAAAAAAAGAAAGAAAACCCACAATATCGTAAATAGCCTCCAATTCAAAATAAATAAATTAGTTTAAAACAATAAATTCTTACCTCCTAACCATTTTCTTCAGTTCTAATACACCAAAAAAACAAAAGAATCTAATAGATGTATTCATGGGTAGTGCATTCTATTTTAGTACATCATGTGCATACACTATAAACTGAATTAATGAAGGAAATTTATTTTTAAAAATAAGAACAAGGGAAGCTTTCAAACAGTTTGAGTCATAGGGAAAATTGCAAGGTTTTCCTTTGTTTTATGTTCTATGCTCACTCACAAAAGTTATTCCCAGATATGAATATTCCTGGGTACAAGAAGCATCAAGTGTGTGAATGGAAGAGAATAGATACATAACTATTATAAGGAGGCAGTTCAAAATGCCTCTAGTAACTATGGATATTGTATTTTCTTAAATGAAATTGCATCATTTTCTTAGTAAGATAGGAGGACTCACCATATGAATCCACTTCATGGAGTAGAAAAAAGTTGCCTACTGGTTAATCCATATGAAAACTCTGCATGATATTTAAGTATTTCCAGAGTTGCCATGGTGAAGCTGAGAGGCAGACAGAAAATCAATCCCAGAGTAAAAACTCTACCTTTAATGTTTTTATTCTTGAATGTGCTCTGAACACTCCTCTGATTTTTCTAATACAACAATTCATATTAATTAGGATAATCAATATGCCAGGCAGAGTCCATTTTCATCTAATATATTCTTCCTAAAAATACTGAAAAATTGTTTATTATCCATATTTTAGATGGATAGAATTTGTCACCAGCTAATGTAGAGCTAATTTCAAATTCAACTTCTTTAAACTACAAATTACAGATTCTTTTGAAAATACTAGAGGCTTTTCATTATGCATTGGAAAAATATGGTTTTGTGCATATAGGTTACATAAAATATATCAATAATATTAATGTCTGATGAAATTTCTAAGAATTACTTCAGTATTTTACACATACTGGAATAGTTTGTCTATGTCTCTCTGTCTCTCTCTCTAGATATATATATATATAAACATATATGTATATAAATAACATATTTGTCATAATTTAAATAGTAGAAATGGGAAGAACTAGAAATACAAAGACTTAGTAATTAGTATTATTTCTGTCCTTAACTGAGGTGATAAGTATCATTTCTATGTTATCATAGTCAAATTAATTTAACAACAGCTTTCTAGCAGAGTTCTCATGACGTCAATATTAACCTCATGACATGATATTGTCAGTTTTTCCAATAAGTTTTCTCTTTAGTTTCTCTTTACTTTTTCCCTAAACAGAATTTTAGGGTTTATGTATCTTTAAGGTTCATTATTTTATGTGAGGAAACTAATTGTCATGGACTGGGGGGATATTACGAACTTACTGACAGAAATAAAGAACCTTGGAAGAACTGAGGTTTAGATAAAAAACTTAACTTGTAAGTTCTTGCAAAAAGAAAAATTAAATATAAACTTTTGACAGAGTTTTTTTCCCTTATCATTGAAAATAGAAATTATTATTTTCAAGAATGAATGTAAAGAGTTACTGTGGTTTATAAAACCAAGAGCATTTATAATAACACAATTTTGGGCGGTCCCAAAGGATAGGACTTGACTGAGCAACTAAACACACAAACATATAATTGAGGAATATTTATCTGTAACTTATAGTCATCTAAAAACTCTATAATTTCAGTTGCAAGGTATTACTTTACCTTGGTAACTAGAGTGAAAGTGAAGCTGCTCAGTCATGTCCGACTCTTTGTGACCTCATGGACTGTAGCCTATGAGGATCCTCCATCCATGGAATTTTCCAGGCAAGAGTACTGGAGTGGGTTGGCCATTTCCTTCTCCAGGGGATCTTTCCCACCCAGGGGATCGAACCCAGGTCTCCTGCATTGCAAGCAGACACCTTTACCATCTGAGCCACCAGGGAAGCTCATGGTAACTGCTACTCTTAACCACAAATACTTTTTTATGTAGAGATGTTGTTACAGTTAGGAATAATTTTGCTTTTTAAAAATTGTTTTAGGAGTTTTTGCCTGCTAAATCTTTATGCAGTCTCTCAATCTTTTCTACTGTTCCACTTTTTTATTGTTAGATCAGTGAAATTTAGAATGAACGTCAGAAACAATTATCATAGTGTTTGTATATTGTAGTTGTAGTTTCTGAAACTAGAAGCTATGCTATTAATGAATATAAAGACAAGTAACAATCTGATTCCCAGAAGTCAACCTTGATAAGATCCAGTATACTGCCTGTAGCAGCTATAGCAATTATCAAAATCTGCGGCCCACCACAAATCACTTTGCACTTAGCAAGACATGAATGGTTATCTCCTCACTTTTGCCAGCAGACATAAGAAGGAATATACTTTTCAGGGAAAAGCAAAATGAATAAAACAAAATAATAGTGCATATTAATTCCACTCTAATCTATTCATAAATTCCAGTAAACATTACAAATAAAAGTAAAAAAAAAAAACCTCATAATCAAAACAAATAAATGCAGAACCACTGGTGATTCAGACATTGGGATTAACAGATCATGATCTATAAGAAAATGTAAAAAATAATGAATGGACAGATGCAGAATATATTCAGAGAATTGAAAACTATAAAACAATCATTTTAGGGCAGTGAAAATGAGAGTAAAATAATGGATATATATTATTATGAAAGTGAAACTAGTAGTCACTCATACATGTCTGACTTTTTGTGACTCTATGGACTGTAGCCTGCCAGACTCCTCTGTCTATGGAATTCTCCAGGCAAGAATATTTAAGTGGGTAGTCATTCCCTTCTCCAGGGGATGTTCCCAAGCTAGGGATTGAACCTGGATCTCCTGCATTGCAGGCAGATTCTTAACCATCTGAGCCATCAGGGAAACCCATATATCACTATACTTTTGTTCAAACTCATAGAACATGTGGCATTGAGAGTGAACCCAATGGTTAAATGTGGGCTTTGAGTGATTATGATATGTCCCTGTAGGTTCATCTTTGGTAAGAAATGTATGGTTCTGGTGAATATGTTGATAATGGGAATCTCTGTACATGTGTAGGGGCAGGCGTATATCAGAAATCTCTACCAATTCCTGTTCAGTTTTGTTGTAACCTAAAACTGCTTTTCAAAAATGTCTCCAAAAAGTCTTTAAAAAGCAAAAACATAAACAAAAACAATCAAATGAAAACTTTAGAATTGAATAATTTGGGACTAAAATTTAGTGAACTTAATTATCACTGAGTTAAAGTCTAACATAACATCTCATTGCAGAACAAGAAGAAGAAAGAAAATAAAAAAGAAAAACTATATTTAAAAAGGTCAAGATGTTCCATAGAAACAACAATCTACATATTCAGAAAAATCCCAAGAAGAGTAAATATGATAAAATGACACCTAAACACTTGGAAGTAGTTACTGCAAACTGGAAATAAAGAGGAAAATCATGAAAACAGTCAGAGATAAAAGGCATAAAACAGGTAGAGGAAAATGATAAGAATAATACACGAATTCTTATCAGGAATAATGCAAACGGGTATACATGGAAGGCATTTTTTAAGTAGTGAGATAAAATTTTTAAAAAATGACAAAAACCTGTCAACTTTGAATTCCTAAGCTAAAATATACTTTAAAAAAGAATATAGGACTATTAAATATATGGTTAATGAGCAAATGAATCATGAACAGAATGAAAGGGCAAAGAGGTAGGACACTGAAAGATGAACTCCCCAGGTCGGTAGGTGCCCAATATGCTACTGGAGATCAGTGGAGAAATAAATCCAAAAAGAGTGAAGAGATGGAGCCAAAGCAAAAACAAAACCCAGCTGTGGATGTGACTGGTGATGGAAGTAAATTCTGATGCTGTAAAGAGCAATACTGCATAGGAACGTGGAATGTTAGGTCCATGAATCAAGGCAAACTGTAAGCAGTCAAACAGGAGATGGCAAGAGTGAACACCGACATTTTAGTAATCAGTGAACCAAAATGGGCTGGAATGGGTGAATTTAACTCAGATGACCATTATATNATTCAGTGTCCCTGTAGCTCTAGTAATTTTCTTTGCATTAGAGTCTGTTTTTTCAGATATTACTATAGCCACTTTTAAAGAAAATTAATGTTTTCATGTAATGTCTTATTCCATGTTTTACTTTCAGTTTTCCTTTATTGTTGAATATGGGGTTTGTTTTCAATTGCTAAGTCATGTCTGACTCTTTGTGACCCCATGGACTGCAGCACACCAGGTTTTCCTGTCCTTCACTAACTCCCAGAGTTTTCTTATAGAGAGGGTGATGCTATCTTTTCTCATATTCATATAATTTGGCCATTTTTTAAATCTACTTTATCAATCTGTCTTTTAAAAATGATATTTAAATTTATGGGGCAATTTAATATTAAAACATATACATGTTATTTCTGAGATTTGACAGATAAAATAAATTATATTCAAAAATTCAGTGACTTGTCCAAAATGATACAGACAGGATCAAATTTGGACATGATCAATAACTTTTGACTTGAGTCCAAGTAAAATAGTTTATAGTTTCTTCTTATACATTATACTTAACACTAGTATTAATATAAATTAATATAAATCTTAGGATTCTACAAAAATATACAGTTGATATACAATTATTCTCTCACTAGTATATAAGCACAATTGTTAAAAATCAAGATCAATAGTTTCTGAGTCATTTTTAGTCTGTAAATTTTAATTCTTTTGTATAATACTAGACATAACTTTCACATTGGGCTTACAGAGGATGACATATGTTTTGAGTTCAAATGTTTTCTAAGGATTGTTTAAATTAGTATTCTGAAAACTAATATTTATAGGGTGTAGATGATTTCTTTTCCATCTTGCAGAAGCAGGTTTCTGTAATTTTAATACCTTTTTCAAAGATGTACTTTTATCATATTAATTGAGGTTTGAGTCCCATGATAATTGTACTATGACTTTTACAACCAACCATAATATTTTACCTTAGCTTTCAGAGTTTACTACCACAAGGTGACAGCAGATATCAGGTGTTTAAGAGCAAAAAAGCTTAGTTACAAAACCCCAGGAAAATGTACTTCAGACTTTTGAAAAAATTGTACAAATCAAATCTCCTGTACAGTATGTAAAATAAATCTACTAGAGACATAGTGACAAATATAAATGGCAATGCATTATGCTGGAGATAAAATACTTTGAAATGGGCCTGCAGTCCTGTGTTATTTTCTAAGTATAAACCAAATTTGTAAAATTGATATAGACATCTCAGCTCTCCAAGTTAAATGCATTCTTCACTGGGAAAAATATCTCCCCTCTACCCATTATAGTAGCACAATTTAGAAAATGAATCATAACATTACATTCTGAAAATTGTATAAGCTCTGTTAATTGGAAAATAAGTTGATTCAACTTTATAAATCCAGTAGCTACAAACACTTTAACTGAAGAGTTTAGATATTTAAATTATTAAAAACACTGTTTTCAGTTTAAAATAAGCAATAATTTTCCTTAGTAGGAATGTATAATGAAAATAATTATACATATGTAGCTTGGCTATACAACTCCTCTCTAGAAAGTATATGGAATGATTTAGAAAATAAATAGAATATCTCTGAGTTACCAAAAATTCTTATTAGAATCATGGAATTTATGATTTTTCTTAAAATATATAAATGTTGTGTTAACAAACTGCTTATTGGATTAGAAATAGGAGGCTACATAATATAGTGGCTAAAAGTGCAATTTTTAGAATCAGACTGCGTGAGTTAAAGTTACTGTTCCTCTGTTCACTTTGTCTGTGACCTTTGATTACTTATTCAATTTTTATGTGTCTGTTTCCCCATCCATGATATACATTTAAAATTGTAGAATAACTTCTGAGTTATTATTTCTATATTCTATTTCATGTTCTATATTCTAAGTTATAGTACAATAATTTCTATCTCACAAGTCTATTGAAGTATTTCAACAGAGGGAATACACACATTCACTTAGCATGCCCCTCACGGTTTGTAAACTGTATAATTAAATGCTGTGCCATTTTTAAGGCAAGTTCAAATGCCTTTCTCCGTATTTTGCCAAAATGCTATATAGTTTATTGTTTTTCATGTTGACGATTCAGAAATTCACATTATGCTACTTTGGGTTTGTAGACGAGTATGTGTGGACACTTTTAAACTTTTGGACACTTTTAAACACTTCAAAGGTTTGGGAAATCTTTGAGATCTTATTGAAACCAGAACATATGAAACCTGAGTGGTCTGATGACCCAAAACATCACTATTCTTTCCATACATCAACCCACCTTTTGGTGAGTTTTAGAGATTTGAACAGTCAGGCAATTCTAAATGCACCATGAGTTTTGTCAGTATTCTTGCTGTTAGAATTCTGGATAATGGCCAAGCTATAAAAATAGTTTAGACATGAGTAAAGTGATGGAGTCACTCATGGGGAATAACTCTGTTATCCTCCATTCTTAAGTGGGAGGTTGCAAAATCAGTCAAATAACTGAGAGGGGGATGTTGGCCCCCTCTTCATTAAAAGGGGAAAGAAAAAAAAACCAGAAGCAAAAGGTAACCTGACTTCTGAGGACGTTAGCCATTTGTCTGTGCACTTAGCTATAAATAATGGAAATTTTCTTTTCCTAATACTTGGGTGTTTTGAGCTAAGGAAAGTCAAGAATCATTAAAAAATATCACAGCATAAAAATTGTTTTTAAAAATTAACAAAATAAATCTTTGTTAAATTTCAC